AAGTACTGACGTAATCATATAGCCGTCATCATCCCGATTTAAATCCTAAATATCAAACATGTTTGATATGATAGGGGCCGGCCCCGATTTGTGTGCGAGCAGATCGGGAGGTGCAAGATTCGATCTGTGAACACCTCACATTAACAGATAATCTGAGCCGAACATCGGGACCGATCGTGGTGCTCGACAAGATTTTTGCTCCGATTCTCGGGAAGGGAAAATCAGGCTAAAAATCCTGTAGTGTGAGCCCGGCTTTACAGAATAAATCCTACAATCATCTATTAAAAATGCATTTTGATTATTTCGGAGCTCCGGCATCAATATTCTACGCAATCTGATCCCATATTTGAGTTTGTTATTCTCCAGAAATGAAAACTGCTTTGCATAAATGGAAGGTTGCCAAGACGGAGATTAGATTTGTTTCTGAAGGGGAATGAGATAGCACTGCCACATTCAAGCAAGTGTTGATTAAACCCCTCTTTTTTCTCACCCTTTCAGTCACTCTCTCACTCACTCGATCAGCTTATTACTAAGCAACATCGCAAAAAGTTTTTTGTTTCACACAGTTTTTTGAGGTCGATCTTCAAATGCTCGGAATACAAATGCGAGCAGCGCAGCATATGCAAATATGCACACACGCAACACACATAAAGACAGACATATGGACACATAAAAATAACTCTGAAAGTTTCAAATACCAGCATACTTGGCACACATACAAAGCCATTGCTGCTGGACAAGCAGATGGTGGCAAAAGATCCCCAGGAGTCTTAAGATGCTAGCAAAAGCTGAAGGATAGAACATCAAACTTGATCTGTTCCCTTACTGTTCTCATGGGCTTCTGTAACGAACCCCCCTTTGAGCAACTCTGGAGACGAAGCATGAAACTTTCTCGCGTACAAACACCCAAAAGACTAAAGAAAATAATAAAGACATTCTTCCCACAATAAATTCAGTTAGATGGGAACGCGCATACACATACTCTTTTGTCTTTGGTCTAATAATTAGAGTCCCCTCCAGTCAAAACAGACATGTATGCAGTTCCCATAGGCCCGAAGTGACTCAGAGAGAATGACTGAGAAATTCTCTTGTTTATCACTTCGGGAAAAACTGTAGTAATCCTCCCGCCCTCGCTTCCTCCCTCTCCTGCTCCACTTGCTCTCTCTTCTCCTCTACTCTGCTCAAAGAAAAGGAAGAGTGAAGTAGGATGACAAACATCCAGACCTATTTCCATCTCAATGAGGGATTTCTACCTCATGAGAAATGACTTTCTCTCTTTACTCTCACCCCAAAACGATCTAAAGATCCCATGAGGTTGGAGTTTTGTTGCTTTTAGCACAGAAGTGTAGCAAAGAAAATATTTCCATTTAAAAATGTGTCTTAGTCTTCCAGGAAGACAGACACTAAATATTGTGGACTCATCCTGCACTACACAGGTGTTTGTCCTATCAAATGCCCTGCAAAATGAGAATGTCCCTCCCACTAATAACACCTACAGTTTACTAGAAAGTAGAATATTTTGGATCATGGCATAGAACCGAACCAAATGTTATGAGCTTAAACTTCCTGTTTTCAATAGGAAATGCATCAACAAAGGAAAGCAAACTGCTATCATTAAGTGATTTCTTGGTGTCTAGAACCGATCCATACATTCTCGGCTTTGAGCCCAAATACTCCCTGAGCTGATTTTGCATAGAGTAGCTAATTAGATATAATGGTTTAATTACAGTCCTACGCAGGGAATTTCACTATGGCACTTGCTCAGCAACTTCCTGACAACCACTGTAGGGCCAAGACTGCTTTATTTCAGAAGTTTTAGCTGCTGAACACAACAAAATATGAACCAAGAACCTGGCTTTGATAAGGACTATTACATAGTAAAATTCTCACACAATTACATGCAACACAAACAATAATGCTAAGTCAATACTGTATCTGTAGGAGACACAACAAGGTGCTGTAAATCAAGATGAACCACTGAGATTTGGGCAGTCAGGAGATTGCTAATTGCAAAATCTTCCCACAATGATATAAACTAGGCCTTTTACCGTTACATCAGATTGCATAAGGCCTGCTATTTCTTAGCCCAAGCAAGGTTTTAACATGTTACATGCATTTTAACATTATACCTTTTTCTAACAAAGAAAAGATAAAGACATTTATAATTAAATCAAAAGATTTTTATTGCAAATTAATGCTGTTCTTTTGAACTTTCAATTTATCAAAGAGTCCTGAAAAAAAGGCATCATGTTTTCCACAAAAAATGTTTAGGCAGCACAACCATTTTCAAATATAATATAAAATGTATTACAATATTCACAAAATTACAGTTTTACTGTAGTTTTGATCAAATAAATAATCTTCTTTTAATAAATGATCACTTTAATTTTTTTTATAAAATTAATTGATAAATGATTAGTCAAATAATCAATAAATTAAAGAGGACAAAATACTTTAAAAGTAAAAAAAAAAAAAAAGTTTTTGTGATTTTTTCGGAGTAGCTCAAGCCTTTTCTCGTTGTTCTGTGTGAAATGCATTAAATAACGACTCAAAACCCCCAACCACTTCATGAGCATATGATATGCCAACTATCTCTCGGTTGGATAAAGCAAACCAGTGTCACACTAGTAAAGTTTTGATAGATGATGATTCCAATAAAAATAAAAATGATTACAGTGACATAAAGGAGTCGTACATTAGGCAAGTCTGTTATTATTGATGTGTAAACAAACATCATAATTTTTCAATAAATTTGCATAGTCATCAAAATTCATGTCCTGCAAATGTTTTTTATAATGGCTGCTGGCCAAATGAGTATGTGAGGGTTTAGTGATTCTGAATGGATCCGTATAGTAGCATATGCAATTCAAGGCAAGGTTGGTTTAGTGGTCTTTTACCATCTCCCTGTCTTCCTGTTTGGTATTGCAGCTTCACTTGGGCTTTTTGTATTAAATGATGCTTTAAACAAATGTTTTTTTTTTTTTTTCCTTTTGCGGTTTTTGTTTTTACTCTATATAAATTAGTGCTGTCATACGATTAATCGCATCCAAAATAAAAGTTTTTGTTTACATACTATATGTATGTGTACTGTGTTTATTTATTATGTATATATAAATACACACCCATACAGTATATATTTTGAAAATATTTACATGTATATACATTTATATATTTATATTATATATAAATGTATTTAATATATAAACATGGCATATTTTTCTTAAATATATACATGCATGTCTTTGTATTTATATATACATAATAAATATACACAGTACACACTCACGTATTATGTAAACAAAAAAACATTTATTTAGGATGCGATTAATCGTTTGACAGCACTAATATAAATACATTGTGAATTATGAAAATTAAAAAGTATTTTTTTACTAATGAAAATTAGTAAAGTGGTGTGAGGTGCTGCCATTGTGTATGTTGTGTCAAAAGCCCACTGTCTTTGACTTTGAAAACCCCTGACCTAATTAGAATTATTTAGCTATAATACTTTTGCCTTGAATAAATTAAATACATTTATGCTCTTCTTGTGGTAACATCTAAAAGAACTGAATCAGTAGTTAATGACTGAATCAAACAAAACATTAGGGTCACACCAACAAAAATATTTTTTTTAGTGTCAGGTTATGCAGAAATAGTTCTTTAATCCTTATCCCTGGTATCTCCATTGCCGTCATCGCCATTTTTTTTTTAAAAGCAAAAAGCCACTCGAGGCCTTTCATTACAGTAATTTTACCAACGCTATAGGCCTTTAAAGGCATTTCATCATGCCTTAGTCAACAGAACATAGGAATCTTTCAACTTTAAAACAGCACAAAGGATTAAATAAGCCCCTGTAGGTTAAGAATCAGATGGTAAAGCGTGGAATTAGCACCCTGCTGACATACACTCGTAATAATAACAGAAAGAAGATGAGATTCCCTGGAGTGGCAGGAGAGAGAAGTATCCAAATGATGTCTATCCTTTTCATTGGCCTGGTTGCTTGCTCTCTCTTATCTTTAATTACTCTCGTCTGAATGCTCACTACATTGGAGATAGTCCTCCACTTCATCACTGCAGCAGATGATACAAGATACACCAAATGCCAAGAAAGGGTCCAGCCCTGCTTTCATAAAATGTTTTCTTTCTTCAACTCCTGTAATTGGTTTAGATACACAGATATGAACATTCAGAGCTGTTTTTGCTCCACTGATATAAATGGATTTATCTTTAAGGATAAGTGCATCTCTCATCCCATTATGACGCAAAATGCTTCATTGGATCCTAAAGCTTTTAATTCTTTCATTCGGCTGTTAAATTGCATATTCAAAAGAAACACTCTAACTGATAATGGGTACATCAAGAGTCCTGTCTATGAATTGGTCTTGGTATAAGGGTTTAACTGCCTTGAAGCGCATGGTGATACATTTTTACTTATATGGGAGGGCACCTACTCTGCCGGGGCAGGACGGTTGTACTGTGTTATTTAGGGCTATTCTGGGATATTTTGAGGTTTGGCCTGCGTTTAAGACAGATGTTGGACTCAACTACTGTGTCATGGATTTGGGTTCCCTTGGCAGGACTTACATTTTCTTTCTTGCTAGCTTTCTTTGCAAGCTCTCAATCTCTCTCTGTCCAGCATATCGACCCAGTTGGACCCTGAATGTCCTGTTTCCCTGAAATACTTTAGCAGTTGGCTCATTCAGCTAACCGCATTCTTCCAGAGCTCCTTCCCTAGACCTGAGCCGTAATCACTGTGCATACAGACAATGGAAAAATATAGTCAAATAATAATTTAATCATTAGGTTTTTAGAGCGCTCTGACATGGGAGATTGAAATATGCGAGTGGAAAAGAAGAGGGAGAATGTGAAGGAGAGGAGAAAGAAAGAAAGATTTATTTGTGTACATAAGTCAACCTCCCATCCCGTCCCGCTCGCTCACACTTTCTCTCTGTCTCCCTTTCTCTCTCCCACACACACACAGATACATTTACTCTCTCCCCCTCTCAAACTAAAGCCACAAGAGACACACAATTTAGAGAAACACAATTCCTTTAAAATGTGAAACTCCCTCTAACATAATCAAGTCTGCACAGCACACTCCAGTCACCCACAACCCACAAGTCACACACTCCTTCAAGAAATACAATAGTAAAATCAGAAAATATAAGTGCCTATATTGTAGAGATGGACAGAAAAAGAAAGACAAAAAGTAAAATAATAAAATAGTAAAATAACAGTATTACACTGCCTGCTTGAACTACACCTTACAATAAATCTTTGGATTCACTATGTTCATTCTAAAGACAGAAATCCATATAGTTCTTAAGTGTAGTCTTAGGAAGACTTTTTTCTCAAGTCTTCTTCACATTGCAGCTTAGTTTGGTCAGAAAACACCCACTTAGACAGGAATAGACTAGCTGATAGACATGTAAAGCCATCAACCAAGGTTGTTTTTTTGTTTTGTTTTTTTATGGGCCATTTAGCGCCGGGTTTAGCTAACATTTATTGTACCACAATAATAGAATGAAAAGAAAGAACAGACAGACAGACAAAAAAAAGAGAGAAAGTTTACCTAAAATTTATTATACCACAACAATAGACAGAAAAGAAAGTACAGACAGACAGATAAATACAAGAGAGAGAGAGAGAGAGAGAGAGAATGGCAGCACAAAAACACACAAAAAAGATGAAAAAATGTGGCTAGAATTTCTGACCAAAATAATTTCACATAAACTCAGAAACACAGCAAAACATACAGTTCTGCTCCAGGATATCGAATTTACATGCTACTAAATGCTTTAAACACAACTCTGCAAAACTCTTTGCCACAGTTTCAAAGATTGTGAAGCCACTAATACTGTGAACTTTGGAAATTATTTGCAAGTGTTTTCTAGTTTCTGTACAATATGCATTAGCCGTTAAGTGAACAGACTGCGGGTGGTCTGTAGGCATGCCGTCTGAGGCTGAGACTATAGTTTTCAACAAACTCATGCATGTACTTTTACATAATTTTAAACACTCTATGCCAGCAATCCATCTCCAGTTCACCAATACTGATGCAAGGGCCGAGAGCATCTTTCCTCCACAAGCACTTACCGGACTGACCCTCCGACTCAGGGCTCGTCTCAGACTCCATAACTTCACAGAGTGCTGAACTGCTGTCCAACAACTGAAAAACTGTGCTGAAAGGAGACAGATGGGAGGAGAAAGGAAGCGAGAGAGAGAGAGAGAAGAGGTTCTCCCTTTACCCTATGCGTAGAGAACTGCTCTGTGCCCCAACTGTTGTTCTGTGTTTGTCTACTGCTCCAGAGAGAGAGAGACCGAGAGAGAAAAACAGAGCCAGAATGGACGCATGTGGCGCGCATGCAGAATGACTATTCCTGTAAGTTGCGGTCTCTCTTTTGCCTACTTTTCACATGCTTCTTAAAGACACATTATCAGTGACAAGACTTTTGCAGATTTTACTCACACTATCTTCAGTCTCTTTACAGAAGGACAAATAAAACGGCCAATATTTACGGAAGCCACTAATGAACATGAGCCCAGAAACATAAACACTATATTGTTAAAGTTAACCACAATAATGCATGTACTCACATTCACATTTCACTCTGACATTTCATTCTCCATGACATATATTAAAGGGGTCATATGATGCGATTTAAATTGTTCCTTTCTCTTTACCCTATTGATTTGATAATGTCTGTTTCTATAAAGTGGGGCAAATCCAACTTTGCAAGGACAGTCTGGTGCTTCTGACTCACAGCCTGTAAGTACGTTTTCATATTTAAAGAATTTGCCACTGACGATTCAAACGCGAGTTTTGAGCAGTGTAGAGTAGCGCTTGTTGTTTTCCGATCACAAATGCAGACATGGTTTTATGTTTACACGGCACGATACGCAACGCAACGTGTAAAAAGACAGTATAAGTCATTATAATCTGTAATTATGTCCCCACTGGATGCAACAAATGCCTCGTTTGTAATGGGTTTTATTGGTTTTGTCTCGTCGCGCCGGACACATGGAAACCATAGACTGTATGATGGAAACACAGTATGGTAAGGGACGTAACATTTCTGTCACACGCTTGAGGTATTCGGCCAATCACAACGCTCTGGATAGCTGGCCAATCAGAGCACACCTCGCTTTTCAGACCGATGAGCTTTGTAAAAATCGGCGTGTTTCAGAAAGGCGGGGCATAGAGGAGAAACAATGTAAATTATGTGGAAAATAATGTGTTTTTTGAACCTTAAACCACATAAACACATTGCATTACACCAAATACACAAAATAATGTTCATTTTAGCAACGTCATATGACCCCTTTAAGTATCAAACTGCACACTAGTACATTAGTGTATATGAGTGATAATGAGCTACCTGCATACCATCAGTCTAAGCATTTCAACGAGCCATTAATTTAGCTTTACTTTGCCATGCATCCTTAATTAACATGAATGGGTAATAGGACAGCAGCTTTACAATCTATGTCTCACTTTGATGTTTGTCTGTAAGCTACATGAACTAATGGTGATTTGAAGGCTTTTGACATGTCAGTACCCAGCATTCAGCACTACAGTGATGTGCAGAAGCTGGGTTAGCCAACAGAGAAAAGAATACACAGAAGTCAACAATACTATTATTAAGTATTTGAGAGATATGTTAAAAAGGCTCTCTGATGAGTACCCTATTGATTTGATTTAAGCTTTTAATTTGCAGTATTGAGGCACAATACATGTTTTCTGCTCTTCAACCCCCCATTAAAAAGTTTTGATGTTCATGGATCAAGGTAGTGGGTTTGTTCCTGCTCTTGTCCTCTGGTTCGAAACATCAAACAGAAAGTGCTCCAGTTCTCAAAAGGAGATAGAGATTTACTTCAGTTTCTCTTTTATCTTCTATCAGTTATTCAGTATGGGGTGGGAGCAAACAAGAAACATTTTTCAAAGCAATTCTGAAAATACAGTTATAAATCTGACCAATGACCATACATTAATAAAATTCGATACATGTTATGTGTTATGAATTTGAGTATACAGTACTGTAATATACTGGATATAAAATTATAAACCTGAATATATATTTACATATCCTGAATATACAATGTAACTCAATATGCAAACACAACTATACTGCGTTTATAATTAACTATATAACTATAGTTAATAATTAACTATATATTCAGATTCATATTTAGACTTACAACAATATTTAAAACTATACAGTATATAGAGATTTTATATATATATATTTTTATATATTTTATATACATCCTGCATGGTCTCGATACCATATAATTAAATGTGGTTGGTTAAAATAAATAAATAAATAAAGAACAAAAAAAAAAAAAAAGGAAAATATTTAGATGCAGGTCTTTAGAGTTTGAGGAGGCAAAAATGTTTACTAAGTTAAAAAAAGACTCTCAGTAAATCTATATGTCTCTGTCAAGCAGAACAAAAATACGGCACAGAAATTAAAAGCAGAACAGAGCCAGACTCTTGAAGACTGTGGTAGGATCTGCATTAGAATCTTAATTTGCCTTATTGTTAGATGTATTTTAGGCTAAGCACAATTTTGGCTTCGGTACCATACCAGAATCTACTACCTCAGTGTCGTACTAAATCATTACCATAGGTGACAAATAAGCAGCCTCAAAATATATCCAAATTAAAAACAGAGCACTGCATGCATGAAACTCTGCAGTAACAAATGTGCTGCTCGTTTAAAAGAAATACTTCAGTACTCTCCTGTACTCAGTAAAACAGAAGCAATACTAAACAAACTCCAGCGTTTTCAGCAGGGTTGAGTGGACTCAGACCAACTTAAACACATTTGACATCTGACATTATATCAATATTATATCATCAGCACAATTATCATGTAGAGTGAGATTTATCTGTTTGACCCAGCTTGTTCCTCTGTTGTCACATTTGCCGGTTTCATTTCAGTTTGGGTAACACTGCCGCATAGCAGTGAACTTTAGAATAGCAGCGTATCCGGTAACCAAATGAGCAAAATCATGATATTGTATCAACCCTACTGCATGTGTTTGTGAGCCTTTAAAAGGCTGGTTATCAAGTTTTAAGATTTCCATTTATTTATCATGTGATGAAATCAGTAGTCAAATGAGTAGTATTGCCTCATAAGAGGCACTAGCTAAATTCAGTTGTGTTGTTGTCTCAAGTCTTAATAATACATTTAAAAAATAAACGTGTATGTCCAGCACAGCTATACATTATACATAAATCTGGAAACTTACATAACAAACATATACATACACATTTGGTTCACTATATTTAAGGAGACCTATTATGCCCCTTTTTACAATATGTTATATAATTCTCAGATGTCCCCAGAATGTGTCTGTGAAGTTTCAGCTCCAAATACCCCACAGACCATTTATTATATTATTTTGAAAATGATGATGTCTCTTTAAATGCAAATAAGCTGCTGCTCCCCGCCCCCTTTTCCAGAATAGGGCTTCGCCTTTACAGCTTGTACCTCAGATACTCCGCTAAAAACATTGGTTTGGTTTTGATTATCATGTCTATCGCACTGAAATCATGCGTTTTAAACCATATTAGCTAGGGATGCACCGAAATGAAAATTCTGGGCCGAAACCGAAAATTCTGGATGCACTTTGTAATGATTATTTATTATCTGATTAAATAATACAAAGTAATTTTGTAAGACTTTAATTTAACACAATTTTAATGATATTGAATTTAAAAAACACAACATACTTTTTACTGAAAGTAAAGCATTAACATTAGTTAACTACTTTAGTTAACATGAATGAATAAACAATACTATTTCAGCATTTATTAATCTTAGTTAATGTTAATTTCAACATTTACTAATGCATTATTAAAATCAACAGTTGTGCTTGTTAACAGTTAATGCACTCTGAATTAACATGAACTAACAGTGAACAACTGAATTCTCATTAACTAACATTAGGAAAGATTAATAAATACTGTAATATGTAATGTATTGTTCATGTTAGTTAACAGGCTACATTAACTAACACTAACTAATGGAACCTTATTGTAAAGTGTTACCTTAATATTAAATATCAATATATTATTTTTATTCAGTTCCATGCAACAGAATCAGATATAACCTTTTTAAAACTAATTATCCAAATAATGTATAATCCTACAAAGCTATTATTATCAGACCATGTGAGCAGAGCAGAGCGTCACGAGAGAGTAGCGTCATTTTACCAGCGTTGCCATGTTACAGCACAGTAGAAACAAATATACTACAAAGAAATGTTAACACTTTACAATAAGGTTCATTAGTTAACTACTTTAGTTAACATGAATGAATAAACAATACTATTTCAGCATTTATTAATCTTAGTTAATGTTAATTTCAACATTTACTAATGCATTATTAAAATCAACAGTTGTGCTTGTTAACAGTTAATGCACTCTGAATTAACATGAACTAACAGTGAACAACTGAATTCTCATTAACTAACATTAGGAAAGATTAATAAATACTGTAATATGTAATGTATTGTTCATGTTAGTTAACAGGCTACATTAACTAACACTAACTAATGGAACCTTATTGTAAAGTGTTACCTTAATATTAAATATCAATATATTATTTTTATTCAGTTCCATGCAACAGAATCAGATATAACCTTTTTAAAACTAATTATCCAAATAATGTATAATCCTACAAAGCTATTATTATCAGAGCATGTGAGCAGAGCGTCACGAGAGAGTAGCGTCATTTTACCAGCGTTGCCATGTTACAGCACAGTAGAAACAAATATACTACAAAGAAATATCCTGTCGGCGCATTATTTGAGCAGACTTTGCTTTTCCGGTGAGTGTGAGCGGTACACGAGCGGAACGCACATTCATAGAGCGGAATATTGAGCGGAGCGTCACGCCGCGGCCACAGTGAACCACAGTGACGAGGAGAGTGAAACCTGTGCGCTGAACACTGCTGAGCAGTGCGGCGCGCCATATATATATATTATATATTTTTTTTCGGCTCGTTATTTCGGCCGTTTTTCTCTTTGCCAGAGATAATTATCGAATAATTATGACATTTTCAGTTTTAGGCCGATCATTTTCGGGGGCCGAAAATTCGGTGCATCCCTAATATTAGTTTAAACTTCTGATATATGGTTTTCTGAGCGCACACATCCGAAGCACGCACACAGAAAGTGGCTGTCACATGGCATGTGAGTACTAAACTAAGTTCTCTTTCATGTCTTATTGCGCTTAAACCATCAAATACACACAAGTTTGTTAAAAACACATAAGTTAAAAAACAGTCAGTTATGCCTGTTAAGTTAAAGGTCCCATATTGTACACCTTTCTGGAGTTTTATTTTAGGTTTTGATGTCCTTAAGAATATATATAAGTTAACCTTTTCGACATGTTTCCGTGTTGTCCTTGCTCAGCAAAAGCATGGATGTGATGTTGTCTGGGGGTTTGGCAAAAGGAGAGTGGGACTGTGGGCGGTGCTCCTGACTGAAGGCAGTGACTGTGTAGTTCTGACGTCAACTTTTTAGGGAAGTCACAACGGTTTGTGAAAAATAGCTAGAACTTTAAGCAGGCTGTGTGCATTTTACTGTGGACTGACTGTTTTGAAACTTATATGGTAGTTAAATAGCCCCTAGACCTCAGTAATCGTGAAAAAAGCCAGGTAATTTCAGTTTTGACAATATGGGACCTTTAAACAACTGGGAAAGGAATCACATGTTTATATTAGATCTGTGTGGCAGCAGCGTAATATTCAGTAAATAAATCAATCCACTGCTCTCTTGTCTCCTCTGAGGCTGGGACTCTAAACAGTGTTCTCTGTGCAGCCAGTGACAGAACAGTTAGCATGTTTTGCTCAAACTTTTGCCATGATGTTAGAACTGCTACACCGTTGTTGCTTGCAAAAACAGAATGGTGGTGCAGTGGGTGAAAACTTGCAGATTAAGATTGCAGGTAATATTATAATAAGATCCCCTTTCTACATCATGGGGGAAGCGAAATCTGACGCGCTCGTTTATTCACAAAAGTGGTATCGGTGCATCCCTACTGTATACTGTATAACAGTATTACCTATATACTGCATAAGGCAGAGTTAAGAGCATTTCTATATAGTCAGTCACAAAGAGACACCAGTCAACTCACACTATCACAAAATATTTTGGTAGAATATTCAGGTACCCAAGAGCATGTCAGAAATGTTTAAATAGTATTTAAACCAGAATATTACATTAAATCACCAATGATCCTAGATCAGGAATCTCTAAATTCACTACTGAAAACAAACCTGATCACTACTGAAAACATCTGATCAGGAAACAGGTGCTTTTAAATCCAACCAAATAATACTTTTGATACTTGATACTTTTGATGATACTTTTATTTCTTTTAAAGAGGAATGTAAAGAACAAATAATGTAAAAACTAAAAACAAGCTGCAATTCTAATTTCAACATTATTTATTCTCCAGACATTCCCCTTCAATAAGCATCAGCTGCATGCAAAGGGATCAACATTTGGTTTTTCAACCACTGAAAATGGGTAATATTCAATAATCTGGACATGGAGCCACATTGAGATCCCTATATCTCTGGCACTGAACTATACAGGGCCTTGAAAATGAAGATTCATAAAGAAAGGTTTATTAGGAAACAGAATCTAAAGGATATTAAGATAACTTTAATACTTGAGTTACATGCACACAAAAATACTATTTATGGCACTCGGACAGGTATGTTCTATGCAACTATCAAAACTATCAAAGTTTTGATAGAGGGAAATAAGTTTCAACATTATGTGTTCCTCAGGCATTCCTATTTAAAAGAAAATGGTATGTTCATGGGAAAACATACATGCATTAGTAGGCCAGTAAAATAGCACAAAACAACATCAGCCAAATAAAGTATGCACACAACATAGATAACAGGCAATAATGTGAACAAAATAAAAACGGGTATAAAAGTTAGTCCAAACAGTAAGAACGCAGCACTGGAAGAAACATCCTAGACAGAAGAAAAGAATATTGCAGCCAACATCCTCCCCTGCTGGCCTCAATGAAAATGACATGGCTTAAATAACTGAGTATAAGGTAGCATACATAAATACTTCTTCAAAAAAATAAAAACGTTTTAGTCACAAGCATGGTCTGAGACAACTACAACTCCTACATATATTTGCTCTCTTTGTTAATCACAAGAAATGAGTTTGTCTGCAAATATGTATCAAAGGTAGTTTGTGACAAAAAAAAGTGTCAAAACAATTGACAGATTCCTCATAATTAAAATACAAAATAAAATAAAACGACACAATGTAATGGTGGTTTTATATTATAGGATATTTTGGGGAAAACACATTTTGACTAAGACTTTATAAACTTTTTTCATGCACAAAGAGTTAATTTAAGCAGATAAAATACTTTAAGACTCAAACATAACTACAAAACTATAATAAAAAGTTTTAAATTCCCTTATATTCCCAGGTTTTCTATGACCATGAGAGACCCTGGCCGTGTTGTAAACACGTGGAGTAACAGTAGTACACTCACTGTTGTCCACTGAGAGATGACACTGGAATTCCGGGAACTGCGTCTCCACAGGAACACTGATGGTGCGACGCAGCAGTCTGGATTTGCAGGTGTCAGTCCTCTTCTTCTGTAGGAGCAGAGGGTGTATCTGACAGCGCGGAACAAAAGAAAGAAAGACACATTTGTGCACACACTGTGCAGCCAGTGACAGAACAGTTAGCATGTTTTGCTCAAACTTTTGCCATGATGTTAGAACTGCTACACCGTTGTTGCTTGCAAAAACAGAATGGTGGTGCAGTGGGTGAAAACTTGCAGATTAAGATTGCAGGTAATATTATAATAAGATCCCCTTTCTACATCATGGGGGAAGCGAAATCTGACGCGCTCGTTTATTCACATGCTTGCGGAGAAAGGCTTACCAAAAAAAAATTACTGGGTTGTTCTTTTTCATGTTTTCTGGGTAAGTAGACGCACAGGGGACCTTGATTATAGCACTTTAACATGGAAAAAGTCAGATTTTCATGATATGTCACCTTTAATAAGGACACCTAATAAACTTTCATTGTTTTTACAACAGGTAATTAATATTTTCTCTCACCTGGCCTGACCCCCTACCTCTAAATGTAACCCTCACAAAACACTAGATCTAAATAGAAACATGATTTAGTCAATTTGCATGCATAGTGAGGTCTATATTAGAAATGTGAGGACATTTTTGAATAGTGAGGACATTTTGGACTTCAGGTTTAGTCAAACCTGTACACATACACATAAAATAATATACTGTATACTAGGGATGCACCGATACCGATACTGGTATCGGTATCGGGCCCGATACTGGCCTCCTGTACTCGTACTCGTACTCGTTAAAATGCCCCGATACCAAACGCCGATACCACACAGCATGTGATAAGCGCCATATTTAAACAAAGAAACACTGACAACAGACAGCAGAAAGGAGTTATGGATGTCTACTACGAAGTATATGTATGCAATGAATATAACATTAAACATTCAGTATTAACGCCTGTATAGCTGATGTGAGCGAGCTGATTAACAAAGCACGCTGAGTGGATTGAGCGCGCGGCGGCGCAGATGCGCGAGCTTGCCGAGTGAATATACCGTTCTCACAGACATCATTGGAAAGTTTATAGTTCGGTCGGATATGTCAAAGACAAGTAAGTAAAACAATGCACAAGTTACTTAACGGTAGGGAGAGAGACAGAGAGCAGTAGTACACTCACTGTTGTCCACTGAGAGATGACACTGGAATTCCGGGAACTGCGTCTCCACAGGAACACTGATGGTGCGACGCAGCAGTCTGGATTTGCAGGTGTCAGTCCTCTTCTCCTGTAGGAGCAGAGGGTGTATCTGACAGCGCGGAACAAAAGAAAGAAAGACACATTTGTGCACACATTCGCCTGCCTCTCATCTCATTATTAATATATTCCATCCGAATTGAACAGATTCAAGTCAGACAAACAGAGGCAGCAAGACATAAAGAATTCAATAAAACAAGCACACAGATGGACAGAGTATGAATATATTAATCAAAGGGCTTCTAGCGACTTAAATTACTTACTGAATATGGCTATGCTATTTCATATATAATGCCATGTCATAAACATGCAAAAATAAAGCAGCTAAATATTATCATCGGGACAAAAAATTAGCTGAAAGCTTTTATAGATAGCAAGAAATATTTATGGCAAGTCTATTTTTTCTTAATTTACTCACTATTGGTAGGTATGACAAAAAGTTCTTCTGATAGGAATACAGAAGGAGAAAGAGGAAGAGAGAGCAACTTAACTCTGGGGAATTCAGCGTCAGATCTGGGCAGCTCTGACTACCAAAATGACCTTGCGTTCCTTCCCAGAATCATGTTTCCAGTACACATTCAGCCCTCATGGTGTTATAACCAAACTTTCAGAATGTGCATTCTCTTGAGACTGTGCTACTGTGTTTTTGTTGTTATTACCAACTGTGAATTTGCCCTTAAGAAACAGTCCACATTCAATTTCAGCCACAGCAATCTGGTTTACTGACAGTACAAATCAATTTAATGGCACTGACATTTTAGTTTCATAACCATGGTATTTGCCAAATACTAAAAATATTTTAGATCTGAAGTCAATGTGGAGTAAAATTTGATTCATATTATTACTTTTCATATTAGCACTTGCCTGTAAGCTGATTCTTTTCTTACTTGGGAGAGTGATCTGAATTAAACGAAACAACATACAGTGCTAAAGGGCTTAGCAAAAGTTATGATATTTTGGAGGTGGGAAAAGTAAAACAAAAGCCAAAAAACAGTTAATTTAAAAAAAAAAACACACTTTTGCCTTAAACTCCTAATTTGCTGCTTCTTAATAGTTTAAGGTAGCTGTTAAGTTTAGGTATACGGTAGGATTAAGGGATCTAAAATATGATCAGAATAATATGTGCTTTGTAAGTAATAATAAATTACCAATATGCTAGTAATATGCATGCTAATAAAGCAACTAGTTAATTCTGCTACAGTTACTACTGGCAGCTGAGGTAAATAATTGTAATTATTGGCGAAACATACCAATTTGAAAAAATAATGGAATGCATAGTCAATATAAAAAACTGGATGGCGATTAATTTCTTACTGCTAAATTCTGAAAAAACGAAGAAGGGTTAATTATCGGACCTAAAACTTCCACATGTAATAACCTAGAACACTGTCTAACATTTGATGGCTGCTCTGTCAATTCTTCGTCATCAGTTAGGAACCTAGGTGTGCTATTTGATAACAATCATTCCTTTGAAAGCCACGTTTCTAGCATTTGTAAAACTGCATTTTTCCATCTCAAAAATATATCTAAATTATGACCCATGCTCTCAATGTCAAATGCAGAAATGTTAATTCATGCGTTCATGACCTCAAGGTTAGATTATTGTACTCCAACTACCTTGTTTAATTTCTTAATTCAAGTGATATATATTTTGTTCTATTTGTGTTAAGTTATTTATAATAAGTGAAGTGAAGTTTACTGTTAAGTGCACTGGCGTCAGACTCATTTTGAATAATAAAGTTTATTGTTAAATTGTTAAATACCCTGCCTCCACTACATAGGCCTATGTTTGTCACATCATTATAAGTGTTTGATCACCACATTTGAGTTGCAAAAAATGTGTTTATGTATATATATTCTGTTTATGTAGGCTATATACTGTATTCTATATACAGTACCAGTCAAAAGTTTGGACACACGAATGGGAACA